CTTCTGAGTTTCCGTACAATTTCGCCCATGCAGAAGTCTGCACAAGTGCAAATGAGGCGATACGCAAAACCGACACTTATCCGTGGTTTTATTTTTAACGGCCAAACAGAAAATCTGGTTGCTCTGCTGTTCCGGTTTTGTTAGTCTCATGTGACGATCACAGCACAACAAGAGCTAATTATAATTTAGGTTCTGTCAAGCATATTTACCTGCAAAAAGTTGCATATCACCTTCAACATTTAAACCGTTAAATGGCATGTATACCCTCGATCTTAGAATAGAAATCTAACTCAAAACCGAGGTATTTCTCGAACCTGTCGGTTTCAATGAAATGCGTAAAATCTTTTGGTTTCCTACTTTGAAGAAAGAGGCAGCTTGCAGTGGTTGGTCGACGGATCTTCGAAAAGAAGATTTCAGCGTTTATTTAACAGAAAGACATTCAATGCTGTACCGATTTCGTTTTGCAACTGTCAAGCAAATAACGAGAACTGTGTTAGTTCATGATCCTCAATATGTGAGTTGTAAAGTTACAGTACATACGGTTAGAACCGTTCCAAGACCAGACGAAGATGTAGAAGTGAAGCTATTGGAGGTTCTAAGCATTTTTGTTCAGTAGACTTTCTTCCCTGACGCGTTGCTGTCAAACTTTACAATCGATCTATTTCGAAGAAGGTTTTATTTTCGTTAAATAGTCGGTCTACAACAAGCCGTTACTTTACATGCATTGAATTGCGATGAATGATGCGAAAATAAGCCTCACGAAATCGAAAGAAGCAATTTTGACACGTTGGCCAGGACCCCGGCCTCGTAGACTGCACCGGTGCATGGCAACCGGTCGCGGTGTCTGTTTCAGATCACCCGAACAGACCTCCGAAACCGCCGAAGCCACCGAACGGCATCATCCAGCGCATGTCACGTCTTTCGGCGTCGAACAACTGGCGGTCCATTCTTCTCTGGTCGCGCATCAGCTGTCGGTCTAATCTCCTGTCATCACGCCGGAGCTCATTGCCAAGTATTCCAAACTGTCTTCGAGCCCTTATTCTCTCGGCGTTCGACTCTAAACGACAACATGTGACACCAGAACGACATTTCTAACCGTCCGTCTTTCGGTCACACCAGCCGTGAAGACAAGCAGACAGTGGAAGAGGAGCAGCGAACAAA